GAATTTAGGAGTCCTTTTCATGAATCACAGAATCTAAATATATTACACCATAATATCAATACATCAATATAAACTTCAAAGATTTTTAGGGACTTTACAGGGTAGATGTGGAAAACTTGTTTCCCCTTCTGGGGAAATTCAAGAGCTAACAGCCCAGGCAGATAAAGCCAATAGTGGATCCAATAATATTGGAAAATGCACAAGATCAGAATTGAGGAATGCAGCCTTGTGGGTCTGGAGGAAGTGACAGGGATAGGGAGAGGTGTGGAGGGTTGTGGGGCTGGAGGAGGTTTTTGAGTGAAGGCTAAGGTCATGAAGGGATTTGAAAAGAAGTGTGATGATGGAGAGAGAATGAAAGCTGAAGGTGATATTTGAAGAAACCCAGATGAATAAAACAAAGGTGGCTAAAAGCAAAAGCAGCAGAGTTCCCCATGATATAATGTGACACTTTCAACAGAAAGGGCTGCAGAGCAAGTTCTCATCAGGATTTTTGCCTGATCCTGCAGTTTTGTACAAATGTATGTAGATTAGTTTCATTCAGCCCATTCCTCAGATGTTTAGGCCATTTACAGAGAAAGAAAAAAAAAATGCACACACAAACACAAGTGGGGAGAAAGCACAGCTCATCTGAAATTTTAGTGACAAGTACAGCCCTATAGGAAAGTGTTAGAATGTAGTCCTTACATCCCGTCAACATGAAAAGGAATCAGTGCCCTCGCCACTGGGAAGCCTATCTGTAATTGCTTGCTTCTTCAAACACATTCATGCTCTCTCTCTCTCTTTTTCTGCCTATGCAAACGAGTGTCAAATCCCTGGGCTGCTTCTTAGATGTTTCCAGAGAAATGTAGGTGACTGAACAACCAGTAAATGAAATAATATTTGACAGGCCCCTTCCTTTCTCTTCTCTGTCTCTTCTAACATCCCTCTGTGCCTCACTCCCTCTCCGTTACATTCTCCCTTTCCTCTCCCTCAAAGTCTAGTTTGCTCCACTCCTCTCTGTCCCTCCCCCTACACCTCAATATTTCTTTCATATGCTTTCCTTTTCAATATCTTTCATCCTACTGCATTTTCTTTCTGCTAGATGCGCCCCCCGCTCCATCTTCATCTCTATCTTTTTGGTACAAAAGGGTTCATGCCTGGGGTGGGGACAAGCCTGGCACTTATTGTCCATACCCACTTTCCCTGAGTGTCTTGTTTTGCCACTTCAGAGGGCATTTAAGAGTCAAACATGTTAGTGTGGGACTGAAGTCACATGGAGGTCCACATAGGACAAGGGCAGAAAGTTTTCGCCCCTTAGAAACATTAGTTTTTAAAAATTAATTTGCAGGTTGTGGGTGTCACTGGCTAGGCCAGCATTTATTGTCCATTCCTAATTGCCCAGCGAGAATTTATGAGTTAACCACATTGCTATGGGCCAGACCAGGTGAGGACAGCAGATTTCCTTCCCTTAAGGACGTTAGTGAACCAGGTGAGTTTTCAATAACAATGGTTTCATAGTCATTACTAGAACAGTTCTCTATTCTAGATGGCCCCTACTGCTGACTTTGGCTGGACCTTCTAGACTCAGTTCAGTGACATTACCACCACCTTTCTCAATGAACCACTGGGCTTTTCGTACAAATCATGTTCGCCTTTTACTGACACTGGTTTTTAATTTCCAGAATGGTCTCAGATTGACAATTAACTGTCCTCAAGCATCACAATGATAGTGTCCCTACCTCTGGGTCAGGAGGCCTGGATTCAAGTCCCATCTCTTCACTGAACATCACTGAACGGGTAGATTAGAAAGTATCCAAAATGGTGTCCCCTTCTTGAGTGTTAGTTCCGAAGAAAGGTCTCAGCCTCTTGTTTCCTTTTAGCAATGTTGAATTCAATGTTTTAAATTAACCCAAAACTGAATTCAAACTGTTAGACTAACATAGGGCCAGATTTGAGGGTTTGATTTTTGAGTACAGGCAGCTTGAAAGATTGACAGAACATGTTGTGATTTTGAGGTATAGTTTGCAAATTTCACTGTCACTGATACTTTTCCTTGAGTCATGCCTGGATCAGTTGTAAACGTATTGATAGTGATTTGTTGCTATATTTAGATGTGTGTGGTAAAAGCTGAAAGAAATGCGGATGCTGTAAATCAGAAACAAAAACAGAAATTGCTGGAAAATCTCAGCAGGTCTGGCAGCATCTGTGATGAGAAATCAGAGTTAATGTTTCAGGTCAAGTGACCCTTCCCAGAAGATTGTGGTGTTGCTCCTACAAAGGTAGAAAAAGACAAATTAGATGAATCTCAGTCTTTTATTTTTGTCTGGAAATTTCCATCTTCCTATTATACAGAAGACTGAAAGAGTGAAGAAGCTTTTTTTAAGAGACCTTAAGAAAGCATGAGTCAGACTAGGAGGCAGTGCAATGTCTCTCACTTTCAACTCAGTGCCTTTGAGTCAGAAGGATTGGCCTGTGCAAAGGAACAAGAGGGGAGTGGTCACCACAGGCGATATTGATTGGACTTTAGAAAAG